AGCCCAACTTTTTTCCAGAATGATATAGACTGTGTCATTTTATTTTCATTAATTCATGAAGTAATCCCGGCAACGCAGTAATTATCAGCATGAAATACACAGACGATAATCAACATTATTAAGGTTAGATCAAACGAAAGGGCAATAACATCTTTGTAACCTAGCAAACGAGCACCAAGCTGAGGGATTACATGTGCCTCGGTGGTCGGTCGAAACGAGATCGAACGTCGACGCGTGGATCTGATCTGAGCGCAGGCACGGGCGAGACGAGGCAGGCAGAACGGGGAACAGGACGGACACGAACCTGAAAAACCCGCACCTCTCCCAGGACTGTCGGGGAAGCAAGGCTCTCCTTTACGCCAAAATTGGGAAAGGAGGTGGAGGCATTGGAAGCCAGGAAATTCACCGACGTCGAAAACGAAGAGTGGCTCGTTAAAAATTCTTCCCGAAAGAGAGGAGGCAAAAAGTTCGGGCCGGGTGAACTTTTTTGAGTTTGACCCTTTTTTTTAGCGGTCTTTTATAGACAGCTATGATTGTCAAATTTCGGTCGGGGTGCTAGGCCCAAACCCGCCAAACGTGGCCTGATGCGCCTGTGACCTTGAGGCTTCTAAAGCGCAAGATTCACGATCCTGCGTATAATCCGCGGCGTGCATCTACCATTGATGGAATCGCCTAACCAGAATTTAACTCATGGCGTTTCAGTTCAATAACGCAAGAAATCTATCTGTGCGTTCTGACTCGAACCATACGACTTCCTCTATGATTATAGCAAGACAGGTTTCAAATAAATAGAGGGAGGTTAATGTCAGCTATCAAAGCGGGACTAAAAGTCAAGAAGAAACAAGTGACTCGCACTGAAGGAGTCCCATTGATGAGTAAATAGATTACGAATCAACGCGAGTTTGAAAATGTCTTCTAAATTTTTGGGATCCAAAGGTATTCCGCGAAAAATTCGTCCCAGTCAACCGCGAACGTTTCCGAAAACTTTGGAGGGGTTCTGTAGGCTGCTAAAAAATCAGCAATGGATATGTCGATCCCTATGCCAAGCCCCTGATAATGAAAGTTACAATGCAGAACGACTTCTGATCTTTGCATCCGCAAATTCTGCAAAAGCGCTATAGACACGGCCGTCATCTCTGAGATGAACTGATCTTGATGGCTGGCGACAACAGCATGACTAATATGATGCTGATGAGGCAGTGTAAGATTTTAGAAATCAAGGTTGGACTTAGTTGGTGAGGTTGCCTGTGGTAGAGAGCTATGGGTAAATATTCATCTTCAAAAACACTATGGATGTTGATTCCGCGGCTAACTCCAACAACGAAAGCTAACAATCAAATAGCTTCGGGTCGACAATCGAAAGGTAAATAAGAGGACCATTTCACAAGTAGATCGAGAAGAGTTTACAATTCGACGACGCTTCCGACAACTGATGAATAGGCTCTATTCTGTAGGCCTTCGCACCCAACAAGTGAGAGTTACATATTTGACGACTCCACTCTCTATATCCCTATAACAAGCAAGGATCAATAAAAATAGCTTTCGCAATGTTATAATGGAGAGGTTACAAGTCAACAACGCTCTCTCAAACGGCAGAAAGCCATTCCTGCCGTTTTTCCTAAGTTCAAAAACGCACCACTTGTGTGTTCCTCAGCAGACATCGAACTCTGTAACGGTCAGAGTTAAAGTACAAGACGCACACATAACGTGCGTTCTTTTAATAGACTCAACTATGTGCCCCAATACGTCTGGGACGCAGAGTTGAGCTTCAACGCACATCGGCTGTGCGTCTCAATCTCTAACAGAAGATTAACTCTGGGCATCTCAAAGCCTTGGACGGCAGAGTTAAAGCCCATTAAGCGCCATACTGAGGCGTTTTGACTTGTTCAAAACGCAGTCGAACAGGCCTCCAAACCGTTATCCCACGTTCTGAGGGATCTCGCCACAAAGCGAGGCGAAATAGGGGTTGGTTACACTCCACATCACCGCTATAAATAACCGAACTTTACTACAAGAGTTAAGGGTTGGTGGTGAATAGGTTGGTTGATCGGCTTTTTAACAGTAAAACCGGCATAAGGTTAAGGGGGAGCTGGCATCAAAACGCCGCCCCAGGTCAACAAATCTCAGGGCAGTTCAACAGCACGAGAGGAGATCTTATTGAAAGATCAGAAGAACTGATCAACGCATCAGTAATTCAAATCATCGCGAGATTATTTTCCCTTCATCAAAGCGTGCATAATACACTTGGGCAATATAACACGAATTTTCCTTGGCGTTTTTCCAACAACTCTGTTATAGAAGTTTTAAACTCATTCTGAGTTCTTTAAACTTCGCTCCAAGAGTTCCTATTAAGCTTTGCCCACAAGTTAATCACATCGAGCCAGACATTCGGTTTTCAAACAACTCTTATCAGAGTTTTTTAACTCGTTCAGAGTTCTTTACACACTCGTTAAGAGTTCTAAACGAAGTCAGCAAGCACTTCAATTATTCCAGTGAAGAAGCGACGGTCGATCGTCAACGGAGAGCGCAAGTTCGACGAGATCAATCGAAAGGAGGCACTCCATCGCACCTTGAAGAACCCAGTTTTAAACAAGGGGAGAATCAATTCATTCTCCTCTCTTTTGTAATCGGAATCCAAATTGTAATGATTTTGAGAGAAATACAAGTCAAATTTTTCTTTCATTGTCTTTTTACTGCAAATTTCCAACAAACACCACCAAATGATGGCTCGGCCTTGCCAAACCATCAAATGGTGGCTCGGCCTTGGTCAAATCACCAAATGGTGGCTCGGCCTTGGTCAAACCACCAAATGGTGGCTTGGCTTGACCAAACCACTAGTTTGACCGGATCATTTCGACGCGTCTCGGTTGCCAGAGGCTTTCGTGGTTTTCTAGAGTTCGGATCGTTTCGTCGTTGCGCATATTTCGTCGTTTCATTGATCTGTACGCTGTTTTGTTGGCCGGTGAGCGCGCTAGCCACTTGGTTCGCCGATTTGGTGGCTGGGGGGTGTATGGGCCACTTGGTGAATCTTCTCGATTTGGATGATGACATTTATTGCCTCCTCTTCGTCTCGAGCCGTATACGGGAGCTTATAGGTATTTTTGAACGCCTACAAAGATCCACACGTGCAGATGAATCAGCTTTAATAGTTGGTCTTGCAGCCCAACATTTGGGACCGTTACGCTCCAACACCTTAAGAGCTTAAATTGTGTAGACTCCAGCAAACGTACGAGTATAAACTATGTTAACACCGATCAATACGAAACCCTAAGGTCAACGCCGGTCAACGCGTAGCCCAGGGTCAACACCGATCAACGCGTTGCGATACAGCTAATTGGTTCAAAGTCAACTCAATCACACGAGTCAAAACTAACTCACCAATTCCGATTCGAGACTTCGACAACGGTCAAACACGCAGCGCCGGAAGAACTTCATCTATTCGACAAAATACTGGATAGACTGAAGGCTGAGGAAGTTAAGAATTGAAACAGTTCACAGGCCCTTTGACACCGACTAAAGGCGGGGGCCAATCATATCCAAAGCATTCCAGACTACTCTATAAAAGAATGAGTCTGAAATACTTTAGAGGGGGTATCTGTAGGCATCTAAAAATGCCTATAGGTGTCCGCACACAGCTCAAAATGGAGAGAAGACGACGAACGTCATTATCCGAGTCTAAGAGGATTATCTAACACCGATAAGTGCCTGAAGCAAAACGGCGAATTAAGTGGCCTGCGTGCTCAACAGTCAGCTCGCGTGCGCCAATCAGCTCGTGTGCGTCAATCAACACGTGCGCGTCAATCAGTTCATGCGCGTCGATCAACACGCGCGTGACAATCAGTTCGTGCACGTCGGTCAACACGCACGCGTTAATCAGCTTGCACGCGTCAGTCAACACGCGCGCGTCAACCAATTCGTGCGCATCAATTAGTTCGCATGCGTCAATCAACATGCGTGCGTCAATCAACACGCGTCCGATGGTCAATTCCGC